GCTTTAGCCGATGTGGTTGGTTTTGGAGGCTTATCAGAGACAATGGGGTTTTTGGACTGCTCAGAGGAATGGACGGCCGAGATGGGTTGGATTGATCTGGTGGGTTTGGTAAGGTTGGTGGAGAGAGAAAATTGGTGGGATTTGGACGAAGGTAGGAGAGATTGGGTTTCACCAATCGATTTGTTGGGGAGAAGAGTACTGGTGCTTGTGAGAGCCATAGATTTGTGGGTAAAAGGGTCTGTGTTCTTGGACACTGTGTGTGTGATTTGGAGAGGGAAAGAAGGTACCCCTTATTTGTGGGAATGGGTGGTACCTGAAGAGAGCAGAGAAGTCTCGGAAAGGAGCTTTTATAGGGAAGGTTTTGGTATAGGGTTGGGGTGTTGATGGCGTGCCGTGGTGGAGGCACATGGTGTCTGGTAAGGCTCGTGGTGGTAGTTGAAGGGTATTATTGGTAATTTGTTGAATAAAATTGGAAATAAGTCAATATAATTTGGTCCTTTACCTACTCTAATTGCCAGACAGATTCAATAAAAATTATCTTAGAGATGGCATCATAGATGGCTGAGCCGACACTCTATAAACACCCCCTGCTTTCTTTTAGTTGCTACTTTGGTGTACAATTAATGTCGGTAATTTTTAAGAAGGACCTAAATCCGATAGACACGAAATTGATACTCTTTTCATTTTTAAATATATGTCGTTTAAAATTTTTGTATAGAGATTAAAAAAGTCATTAAATAGCTCTAATATGAGTAAAAAATAATTATACAAGACTAAAATATTTTTACTCAAATACGTATTAGAAAAGAAAGAAAAATGAAAGTCATTTAGTTTACACTTAATTTTTTAAGCACTTATTGGAAAACAGAGATAAAGGTAAATTTGGAAGAAAAAATATTAATTATGTTTTATTTTTATAAAACGACAGATATTATGGAACAAAAAATATGATGTAAAACGACAAATATTTAAGAACGGATGAAATATAGATCTCTCCGAATAAGAATTTTTCCTTTTTAGGTGAGACCTGAATAAGATTTATGTTAACTTGAATTTAAAAAAATACGAGTTTGATTATCACGAATATAAATAGATTTGGTATTTATTGAACTAACTTTGTCACGAAATAATGTATACATAGTACAAATTTGATTTCCCACGACTCATTACCAACCTTTTATATAGTGATAGATTTTAGCTTACTTTGAAGTGGACAACTCTTTAATAATTCCTACAAACAAATTTTACTTACAATTCTTAAAATTTTGATAATCTAAAAAAGATGTTGTCATGCTTACCAAGACAGTTTATTAAATGTATTAATAAAATCAAATTGCATGGTTGAATTCGTTGGTCCCATTAATTTGTTTTAACGGGATCCACTAATTCTACTATTTACATTAATTCGATAAATGAATATGATATTTTTTTTAATCAACACATCCTTATTATTTAAAAAAATAAAAGAAAAATCACACATGTTGGATCCACAACCCCCAACAATTCTCAAGTTCCCAATTCTTTCTAAACCTTAGTTTGGGAAGATTTATATGAAAAAGATTATTACTCTCGAGTAAGAACAGCTTAAATAATGTTTTAAAATTTTTAGAAAAATTACAGGGACAAAAAGCAATTTTCAAAACTTATGGAAGATCATATCACCGCTTTTTCTTACGTCGGTATGCTTAGCCACAATAAATTTATATAATAAAACAGGAGTGTGTTTAAATTTTATTTTAGTTATATTTTTTCNATAAATTTGTCTTTGATTAGAAATTATCTATATCCATGTTAATATATGAAAAAAATGAGCAAATTTAGATATATATATCTATATAATAAAATAGGAGTGTGTTTAAATTTTATTCCAGTCATATTTTTCTCCTCAAAACCACACTAATCACTTACCTCTCTCATTATCCTTTTGTCAAACTCAAACGTCAAATCACATCACTTATTTCTATCACATGTTTAATCATTTATATATTTTCTCCCTAAAAATATCACATCACGCATTTCTATTATATATTTAATTATTTAATATTTGATTAATTTGTAATTAATATATTTTTAAAAAAATTAATATAGTGGGATCGATTTTTTGGACGCTCAAATTTTATATTTTATCGTGCCTTCAGGCACGGGTTATGACTAGTATATTTATATAATAAAGTATCTTACAATTCAAATATCAAAAAATAAATTATAAAACTTTAGTTATTCGCAGTTGAGATCACTTTAAATTTTACTTTAAAGTTAATCTAACGGCTAATATTGACACTCTAAATTTAATAGGAAAAATAGGCCCTTAAGGGTTTATTTAGAGTGACTTTTTAAAATTATTTTTAAACATTATTTCTCATAAATACTTTTAAAAAAAATAGTGTTTGAAATTATCCCACCACTACATCCCCCACCCCCACCCCTGCCACCGTCACCACCACCACTGCCACCATAACGACCACCACGAAATTCGTCGTTGCCACCACCGTCGTCGCCAACAATGTCGCCGCCGCCACCACCACCACCGTTGTTGTCACCATCACCACCGCCTCCACCACCAAGACCACTCCCCACCACCGCGGCCACCGCCGTTGTTGCCGTCACCGACGCCACGATCATTGCCACCCACCATAACCAGCACCATTTTCTACCACCACCATTGCCGCCCACCATCTCTCAGTCCCACTGAAAATCAATACTTAAATTTTTTAATTTTTTTTTTTTATTTGTGATTTAATTTTGGATATGAATACAAATATGTTTATTGTTTTCTATTTTTTATTACTCTGTGTCTTCAGGCACAAGAAATAACTAGTTTATATAATAAAGTAGTTTATAATTCAAATCTCAAAAGATAAACAAAATGACTTTTGTTATTTGCGATTGAGATCACTTTAAAGTTAATCTAACGACTAATATTAACACTCTAAATTTAATAGGGAAAATAGATCCTTAAGGGTGTGTTTGGAGTGACTTTTTAAAAGTAATTTTATAAATTATTTGTCATAAATATATATATTTTTTTAAATAGTGTTTGAAACCGTCTCACCACTACTTCTACCACCATCGTCGCCGCCACCATCATCATTACCATCGCCACCACTGTCGCCGTCGTCGTCGCCACCCCCATCGCCACTCCCACCTCACCACCATCCCTACCACCGCCACGGCCACCACCAACGTCGTCGCCACCCTCACCATTGCCCCCACCAGCATCACAGCCATTGCCACCTAACACAACCATCATCGTCTCCTACCACCACTACCACCACTGTCGCCTACCATCTCTCACCCCCACTATAAATCGATATTTAAATTATTTTATCTCTTCTTTATGTTTGTAATTTGATTTTGGATATGAATACAAATATATTTATTATTTACCATTTTTTATTACTTTGTGTCTTCAGGCATATGCAATAATTAGTCTATATAATAAAGTTTCTTACAATTCAAATCTCAAAAGATAAACAAAATGAATTTTTTTATTCGCGGTTGAAATCGTTTTAAATTTTATTTTAAAGTTAATCTAACGGCTAACATTAACACCCTAAATTTAATAGGAAAAATAGGGCCTCTAATGGTGTGTTTAGAGTGACTTTTTAAAAATACTTTTAAAAAAATAGTGTTTAAAATCGCCTCACCACTACCTCTACCACTACCACCACTGCCGCTGCCACCACTAACACCACCATTACCGCCATTGCCACTGCCGCCACCACCACCGCCACCACCACTACCACCGCCACCACCACCACCACTACCGCCACCCACCGCCGACACCACCGCTACCCCCACCGCCTTTGTCGCCACCATCGTCTTCGCCGCTGTCGCAACCACCACCGTCACACTCGCTCTTGCCGTCACCACGGTCTTTACCACCCGCCACAATCATCACCGTTTCCTACCACCATCATTGCCACCCCCCACCTCTCACCCCTCACTACAAACTGATGTTTAAATTCTTTTATCGTTTCTCTATACTTGTGATTTGATTTTGGATACAAATACAAATATGTTTATTGTTTATCATTTTTTATTATTTTGTGCCTTCAGACACAGACAATAACTAATATATATATATTTTAAAAACACAACTTCAAAACCATTCTTAAAAAGCCAAAAGAATGACAAAAAAAATATTTTGGGTCCAGTAGTGTACTGTATACAAAATATTTTGACACTAAGATTTCATCATCTCTCAACCAAACTCACAATTATAATTTTTTCATAGAATAAAAGTTCACTAAATTCATATAATAGTAAAAATAAATAAATAAAATTCTCTTATTTTATAAGGATTCAAGTCAATTTTTTATTTAAAAAAAATGACAAAAATCTAACCCATAATAGAACTTTTTGCCCAAACTAACACAAGCCTTCATGGTGCTGTACATTTGAAGAGAATGGGCAATTTCATTAGGTTGCAAGGTTAAGTCGAATATAGGTAGGCCTCCCCAACCACGACGCACATTGCTGAAATGACTGATCCAACCACACGATTGCCAAATTCTATAATAACTACAGCATTAGTAAGGTAAGTTACTCGGGCTCGACTCGAATTTAACTCGTATAAAACTTGAGTCAAGCTTAATCTTTGTTGTAAAAGTCTCAATTTTTTAAGTTTGTTTAGAAAAATACACTTTTAAAAGACTCAATTTTATAAAATTCGACTCGTTTATACGTAAAATAGTTGAACCATTCAGATTTGACTCACGTTCGACTCATATTTAGCTCGTTTTCGGGCTCAGTTTATTTTTTTAAACTAGTTGAATTTGAACAATTATTTAAATTTATTTAAAAAAATAATGTTGATAGACTCGACTCAACTCTATTAACGGCCCTTATATTGAGTCACCTACGTATTAAAAATTGGGTTGCAAATTCACAAATAAAATATTAGCAAGCGACAGCATTGGCCATTTTTTTCTGAAAAGGATGATAAGGTGTTTACCACTTTCACAAACTTCCTTTATATAAGATACACACAAACACATATATTTTTGTCTTATTAGGTCAGCTATTTTCGTTCCAACCAATGCATTATGAAATTTAAGTATGCTAAAATAGTGTTTGTACTATATTTTATAATTTTAATGAATAGATAATGAATGTCACATGTCCAAAGAATAAGTCAATCAAAGAAGATTATCACGTGACATTCATTTAATAATAAAAAAAAGATATACAAGCAGTTGATATGACCGGTTCAGATTTAAGCACATTTATAGCCCTTGTGATGGAGGGAATAAAATGATTATTTAAAATTTTTTTTTTTAAATTTTTTTTTGTTATTAATCCTTAATGGGCTCCAAAAATCTGAAAAGCAAAAGTTAAAACAAGAAAAAAAACTGCCTAAAAAGCTAGTGTAAGTCATTGATGGAGAAGTGCCTATAAAAGAGGTATTGATTGTAAAAAAGATGACACTATCAAATCTATCAAAGACCCACAACTTAGATATGTTCAAGAGTAGTTTCAGATTAATTTTAGAATAGAATTATTTTCAGAGGTTGTTTCATCAAAATGTTGTAACCTAGAAATTTTTTAGATTAATAAAAGTCTATTTTTTTTTGTTAATCCTTTGATTATCAATTTTACTTGCTTTGAATTCATGGACCGTAATCATCCAAGGGAGTCATGCAGCATGACACTTTAACCCAACATTAGCAATCACCTTAAATCATTCCGTGAAAGAATTGAGTTTGTCGATTATAAGAATTTTTTTTTTTAAACATCAACAAATATATATAGGGCCTGCCCAATAGGTAAGCCAACAAAACAACCATCTAGGGCCTTAAAAAAAAGAGAGAACTTAATTATGTTTGTGGTCTTCACCTATTATGTTGGTGCAAAAAAAATATTTTAGATACAATAGACCTAATCATATGCAAATTCTTAGAAAAAGTTCAAGTAAAACTGAGAGATCCAACA